CTGCGACGACGACGACGACAACAACAACAACAACTGCCACTGCCACCACCATCAGCACCACCACCGCTCCTTCTCCTCCGACCGCTGCGGCCATTTTACCTATATCGTGCTCCTTCTGCTCTTGGCCACTCCGGGTCGTCTTGCTCCACCCTCCAACGGCCCTCCGACACTGTGACAACAACGACTTCAACGACCACGGTGGTGTCGACGTCCACTGCTGCTGCTCGGGGTTGCCAGGAGATACTAAACGCTCGGAGACCTGAATATGAAACCCTGCAGCCGGCGAGCATATAGATTTCTAAAACAAGAGGCAGCCAACAGCCGAGCTGCCGGAGAAGGATGTCGCGCTGCAAAGGAACCCGAAGTACTTGCCTGTTCATGCTTATCATCACGCAACTGCTGCCAACTGCTATCGCTTCTTTGCACGTCCAATAATAAGCAACGTCGAAGACCAACTGTTGAATAAGCTGAAACCCTCCAAGGCTCCAAGCAAGGTCTACAGCACGCTGTGAAAAGGCCCGGTTTCATTTTTGAGTCGAGGTGAAGTGGCGAGAAATGACCAACATTGGCAAGACATTCCTCTTCAAGGCCTTCGCCGTAGGAGAGGCCGACGAAAACCTCGTGCTGCGGGTTCCACAACAGCGACGAAGGCTCCTGGGAGCTGTTTCATCAACGAAAATTGCGCTCACACTTTGGAAGCATCGCATGGGCAATGGACAAGCCTGCTGGCTGTGGATGCCAAGGGGCAGAAAGTGCTACACGAAGTCGGCTTATGCCAGAGTGGCGCAAGACATCTGCCTGCACATCTAAACTCGGTGCTTGTTTTCAACCTGCCGTCTGTTTGCCTTTTTTAGACAAGTGGTCCGAACCTCGGGACGGGCGCAGTGCGTCTCTGGATATGGAAACAATGAGAAGAAAATTGGACTAGTCCCTGCACAATTGCAAGTCCCCTACGTTGAGGTATATTTTGACACATGACCGTGGTCTCCGATCGCTCCCCTCCCGCCTGCAGCAATCGCTCTCCGGCACCGAGGTCGAAGGAGCAGCCTTGGGCGAGCACCTGCCAGCAAGGTCGAGAACACGGTTGATCGCGCCTTCGAGACAGAAAGCCATGGAAGCACACACATACAACTGATAAAAAACAACATGACATGTATGAATGATCGTTGCTAGGCTCTAGCTAGCAGCTAAAGCCCTCGATTGCTTGGACATCTGCCACTGTTCTTGTTTCATGTACAGCTGCAAAGCGAGAACCACAACCCCGGTTACACGCACCGAGTACCTTGCAGATTCTTTCGCAACGCCCAAGCACAATGCATCCTCCAGTTGTGACCCTTGTCCTTCCAACGAAATTCTGCCAGACTTCTCAGTTTTGAGGCTGCGTGAATTCGCAGTGCGGCTTCAGTTTAGCATGCCGCCGAAAACGACAACTTATTTTTGTTCGTCACTTGCCGTCGAAGAGAATGCCAAGGGCTGGGGCGAAGCCTCCATGAGCTCGACAAATACAGCTATGGTGGGCTGATAAAATCAAGTGTTCTCGACTTGAAGAGATTAGTTGGAGTTGCAGGAATGCGCATTGCCCTTGCCTTCTTGCCGCGGTAATGGAGGAATGTGGCCTCGGCCTCTTCATCATTGCCTTCAGGGGGTTTGGCAGACCAGGCTGTGGCCTCGCCGTCTAGTTCGGAACTTTAGGGGAGGGACGGGCGGAGCCCAAATCCTGACATCAAGATGTACCGTTCCATGACGACGCCTTCAGGCTGAAGATCGGACTGGAAATTCTCGATCATCGCCTCGTGGTGTTCCAAACGAGGCACCAACCCAGGAGAATTACAATATGGCAGCTATTGAGGCACTGAGGTTACAAACGCTTAAGACATCTTCGGCAGTCCACGCGCCTTCGTGAAGTCTGTGACGTCCCCTATCTCACTCTTGTGGTTGCGTGGTTTCTTGCCTGGCAAGAGCTGGCATCATGCAAGACCTGGGATTTGGATTGCATGCCGAGTGGACACAGCTGACCTGGTGCTTGTTTGGGTATTGCGGCCACATCTAAATTTCATACGCATGCTCTGGCATAGTTGCCATGATACGCAACCCGCCGCGCCGCGCCTTTCGTGGCAGTGCCGTTGACTATGTGCTCCAGGCCCTCAAGCCCAGGAATTGATACGACGTTGCCTGGCACAAACTTCGCAAGATGCCTGCATGACTGCACTGGAAAGGGGGCTGCAGCACTCGGCGAGGGTAGGGCCACACTGTGAATGGCTGCCTTCTGAGGGCGCCCATCATGCAATCGCACGAATCGGATCAAGGCAAATCGCTGTAACCCATATCAAGCCAAACATGACTGGATATTATCGTGCGCCCTCTGTGATGCAAACGGCCTGACTCGTCCACCCAGCCCATCAACGAGAGCCTAGCGGCATTGACAGGGCAGAGGCTCAGCAGATGACCGGCAAACTCTGGGGCCCTGTCTGCGTCGCTCCCACGGCACTCGTTGTCTACTGCGATCGAGAGGCCAGTTCTTCATGGCGACGCGCGAGTCCTGGCCAGGCCTGCCAATGCAGTGCAGAAATTTCGCCATAAATCGCTGTAACATTTTCTTTCCTTCTGATGTATCGTGCATTGCGGACATCCACTCCCACACCTAATATCACCTGAAGAGGCAGTTCAAAGGAGTGTAGATGCCGGGCAGCCTGGAGAATTTCGTTTAGCTTGAGTATTGAATCAAGTCCGCACCTGAAGCATGCCAACAGCCGAACGATGTCCTTAGCTTGCATTGCGCTGGCAATGCAGCCACGGGTGGCGCTGCACTCAAGAGGCCTAGGTATAAGTATAAGCTGCCTTAGCTATTGCAAAGAGCCATTCCCGACGACAACGCACCACGAATGTCGCAGCTGTGGCGAGCCTAAACTCCCTTGACTATGTAACCCAGTGGCCGACTTCTCTTTGTCGGCAGTCGCGTTCCACCGCTCTATGAGGCCTTGGATTGTTCCGCTGCCAGTCGCCGAAACCCCTGACCCCTAAACGCAAGACAGAAGAACTTCAGGTTGCACAACAAGTCGCTCAAAATCTCTGTCTCTGTGACTATGGGCAGGCGCTCGAAGTTCAAGATTGTTTCCTGGGCAAGTTGCGATACAGCTCTTGCTCTGCTGCTTGCGGGGTGAGAGTTGCACTCTGCTCTTCAACATCATTGTGCCTTCAGCCTCGCAGCCAAGCGGCTACAAAGTAAACGGGCAAGGAACCTGAGCTATGCAATCCAGGAGAGGAAACGACAAGCGGAGGTGCCCTCACAGTCAAGGCGACAATTTGCAGACCCAGCAACACCATCGAGGGTCCCTCGTGACAGCCCGGAACTGTTCTCGGCTGGACACCATCTCGCTGGCTAGCCTCTGTTTTCCATTGAAGTGAAGTCTTGCTCCGTTCTGCTACGGCCCAGGCCCAATCAAGGACTCTAGCCTACAGATCAATCGGATCAACGGCAGCTTTTCCACAGCTCCAGACAAGCGGCGTCGTGATGAGGACCTCGGTCGTGGAAGCTTCAAGCAATGCTTCAAGCACAGCCCAGAGGAGAATGCAGGAACTATCTGGCGTCCGGCATGAGCCCCGCACGTCCCTGGAGTGTTCCTCTGTAGCTCGGTGTTCATAGTGCTGCAGATGGTAGAACCTGATGTCTCAGCAGTGAATGGCGGAAAGTGGCTCAACTCACGGGCATAGCTGACGTAGTTGCAGCTTGAAGATGACTTTCGGGTGATTTCTGTTGTCACATGGGCAGAAGTTATTGCAAGCCGTTCGCGCAGCACAAGCTATTTAGCTGCAAATTTAGCTATTTAGCACCGGTGAATTCGAGAGCACTGCGTGACTGTCGTCTGATCCTGGCGCTTGATAGTCTTGCATGCTAGAGCCGCAGCTGTACAGGAAGCGACGAAAGTGAGATTGAAGGGCATGATTTTTCTGCTGAGGCCATAGCGCATCCGCAAAGTTGAGCTCACCGACCACAAAGAAACTCCTGGATACCGAAGTCGAATGTGAGCAACTGGAACCAGGCTCTAAGTTCAGGGGCTCTCCTTCTGCCGAACCAGTTCAGCAAGTTTTCATACAGGGCATCCACCGAGAAGCGCTCAGCTTCAAAGCCTGGGAAATCGGCATACGACTTGTGATTTTCTGCCTGACTACACTGACTTTCGTCGCCCTCACATGTGTGGCAAATGCCTTGCTAATTCACCATGCCATGTTAACCAAGGCGAGCCATTAATTTTGGTATGTGCACGGCCGCACCCCGTGATCCACAACCACGGTCGGTGGTCAACTGTCGGGTTCGCCGCTGGTTGGGTATATACACTCCCACAACTCGGGCAGTCCAGGCGAGGTTCTCAGCAGATTGTGTACTCATAGTCTGAATCTGAGGCTTCGGAGACAAAGAATTTGGAATCAGCATCAGACAGAAGAGTGAGTTGTAAAATTTCTGGCCGAGATACAGATAGCCAGCATCTTTTGAGTCAAGACCTCGTTGGCCTGCATAGACTCCCCGAAAGGAAAGCATGCCCACATAGGTCGCAACATTCCCAGACTTGTGAGTCGGACTGTCCAGCCCCGGCCTTGTCGTTGTCTGCCACCTCGTGGAAGAACGACATCTCACCTCAAGTCAAGCCAGTACAGGGCAAAGGGATTAGATCAAAAGTCATGCCATGTTGTCCTGCAGTTTCGGCCATCCCGAGCGCATGGCCACAATAGATGAAACGCAACAGCTCGGCCATGAGCTCCTCGTGCGAAAGCAACGCTCCCAGCGTCAACATGAGGACCAACATTTCAACATGCGTCAAGTAAGCTGACTTGGACCAAGTTGCGCAGTCACACTGGATCTCATACCTTTCCTCATCGCCACTGCAGTGATGCATGGAACGTGATGCAATGATGATCAGCATCTAAGCACGCCAGGCCGCCGCCAGAAAAAAAGGGTCAGCACCTGGAGAGTTGCAACAGCTCGCGAGCAAGGCCGATTTCACTGGCTCTTCTACGTGCTGTGGCCTAAGCAAGGGAAGCAGTACAAACTACTACACGAACTGTTGATCGCTGAGATGCGCTTGTTCGTACCGATCGTGCCGCCGATGAAATGCGCCGTCGAGAAGCCTGAGTCTGCATACGATGATCTTATGCGCTGACTCGCCCGAAAGCTCGAGGAAACCAACGGGGGAAGGGGACGACTTCTCGGAGGGCGACGGCTGCATGTCCTCGTTTGGGCAAGCAGCCGGGCTTCATGGCATCATCTCGCTTTCCAGCTATGGTGGCGGTGATTCCACCGGCTAAGACCTCGACGTCGGTGGTTTGAAGGCTTGTTGCGAAGGGACAGAAGTCTGCAGGGACGAGTGGCGGATCTGTCGATGGGCTGCGAGAACTGGATGGATTGCAAATCTTGCAGCAAGCGGTGATAGCCTAAGCGCGCGGTATGCGCAGTCAAGGTGCCGTCATGCACCAAACTTCACTTTACTCACGTCCGCAATTGGCATTAAAATCATTACCTCCTTCATCTTCAAAAACTAGGCCAAGCTGTCTTGTTTGGGACGGCTTTCTGCACCCAGCAGCTAATCTTTCACTTGCTTTCCGAGCCACCCATAGCCTTGAAGTACTCCTTTGGCGCCGGGATGTCATCGTGATCGGCGCTGCGGCTCATGAGCTTCCCAAACTGACCTAACGATTCAGAAATCACCCCAGCCGGAATCTCGGACTTCTCTGTGTTGTCTTGCATTTGTGCTGTGCCGTGGCGGTCTTCGCACAATTGCTTCCGAGCAGCGGATCTTTCCGCAAAAGCCACCAGAAGTGTCCAGGATACCTTCACACAAAATCAGCACGGCCAGCAACTCCGAATCGAGCCATAACGGATTCAAGCAGACGGTTTGGCCAAGCTGCGCGTATGGCATCGAAACAAAGGACCATCCTGGCCAAAAGGGCAGTGCTGACGCTTCGATTGTCCATTCTTCGATTAGCTCTAATTAGCTATCAGTAGTCTCGATCACTCTTTCCAAAGTTCATGGAGAGCTGCAGGAGCCGCTTCGTGGGAATTGGAGACAAAAGGACAGAGTCGAATCGTCTGTCGTGCGAGGTAGTTCGCGCCAGCACAGGCGGAGGCAGACAGCCAGGTCTTTCAAAGCAGCACGGTCCTTTATGTGGATGCCGAAGTCCCCACTGCTGGTCTCCTGAAAGATCCTGAGTTTCCAGCACTGGTGCCAAGTGCAAAAGCGTCAGATGCGTCAGGAAACATTACCAGAGGTTGCAGCCCAGCAACTCCCGAAAGAGTCGCGAAGAACCTTGGATCTGATGGAGGCCGGCCTGCCACGGAGAGAAGACAGGCGTGTCATGAACGGCAAGCCAAGTCAGAATTCACAACGGACCAGGATTTCCCAACTCTCCCGGGAGTTGAAGACCGAGCAAAGCAGCGCCTCCTTCCTCGCCATGTCGGCCAGCACACTTGGCCGTCTGCCTTACCCCTTGAGGTGTAAAAGGCCGCGCAGCGAAGGTTCTGAGATCCCTTTTCTTCCTATCCTCTTATACATCACCTAGCCTCTGGTCCTCCCCAGGAGCGTCGTATTGCAAAGCACTCGATGGTAGAGCAGCTCCGGTGAAATACTGGCAAAAGTGCCTTTCCTACATTTTGTACCTTGAGGACATTGGTTGTGGTTGACACCAGAGTTCTCAGCCTTTGCCCGTCCTTGTAAGGACACCAGAAACTTGACCGTGGGCGCCGCAAAAGCTTGCCTTCATGGGCTTGCACTGCTCGTCGGTACGAATCCTGGTCTCGAGTCGCGGTGAATGGCGGCGAATCTGGAGAGGTTAAGCTGCCAAGCTCATCGTTGCCGTTTCCATTCGAAAGCATCCCTCGTCTGAGCGTTTGGCTTGTACTGATCGTTCAGCACATCGATCGCATCCTGCCGACTTGTCTGGGGAAATCCCGAGTCAGGCTGAACAGGTGACTCGGCTACATGTGCTGCACCCGGTGCATTTGATTTGCACCAACATCTGCAAAACACCAATTTTTTGCATCGCGTCAGCCACCATCCGCATAGCTTTGGAGAGCATCTGCGGTAGCCTTGCAGCGATGCGATATACAAGACATGATGCCTCCGCAAGCATAGCGTGGACAGGGCTTCAGGCTGGAAGCCTTTAGTACTAGTTTTGCCCCGCAAAAACCAAGTTGCCTGATGCCCGAAGTGGTTGCAACACGTTGCCTAGCCCGCACCCGCACATGTGCGAGTTTTCAGCTCTTAAAGAAAAGATTCTGTAAGGATGATACTAGCACAGCTTCATGGGCCACAGGCACTTCCATCCCGCTGTTGGCCATGCTTGTGCTTTTCAGCAGCATTGCTATCACAACATGCCCTTCGCTTTCGTTTCCTCTTCTGTCTCCTCATCTCCGAGGGATTAACGAAGAATCTGCATGCATCTGTGTGAGTATATGTCAGTATGGATATTACTACTACTTGTATACGCAACATAGACGAGCGTTTGACAAACAGGCAGACAGGCAAACAAACATACCGACTACCTGCCTGAGTACATACATACCTGCATACGTATACATACGTATACATACATACATACATACGTACGCACGTACGTACGTACATACATACACACATACGTACCCATAGCAATCCTGATGACCACCACAATCATAAGAGTCATCATGCTAGGGACCATAAGAATAACAATACCTAACAAGTTGTGTCAATAATGCAAGCTGCTAGGCTGAGTGCTGGCCCTGAAGCCTCGCCCCGGGTGAGCAGCGCAAGGTCTCCAAGCAGAGCTCGGAGCTTCGGCCCACGCAGGCGGGCGAGGCCCTGCTGGGCTAAGAGCCTCTCAGCTTCCGGGCTTGAAAAGTTGAGAAACTTGAGACAGCCTTGATGTTATAGGTCGGGAAACTCTGGAAGCAGAAATGTTCTGAATTCCGCCGGTCACTAGACCCTCGGCTAGCTGGGATGACGAGAGCGACAAGGCTCTGTTTCGCTGTTTACCTCTGCAGCTGGCATGGGGGCCTGTCTGCAGCGGAAAGATGCACCAAAAAAGGTGCTCCAGCGGCAGCTGCAATGGTGGACATGTAGACCTGCTCGTGTCCTGGAGAGTCTCCAACAAACCATTCGACATGTTGCTGACATGTAGCTGTTCTTTTCTGACGAGCCGCTCTCCGCCAAGGCTGAGAAAACCTTGAAGGTCTGAGTGTTCATGCTCCTGGGCGATCAAAAAAACATGGTGCAGCACAAGCGAATGTCCGTTCATGCCGGCGGCGAGGTAACCCTAATCTACACAGGCCGGTCCATGCCAAGCTGGCGTGCAGCAGCAAACGACACTTCAAGATGCCTTGGCCATGCGTGGAAGCTGGTAAAAATAGCTTGCGCCAAGCTGGAGACGTCGCCTCGCCACGAGTAGCTGACTGGCTTGGCACACATCACAGGAAGGATCTGCAATGAACACATTTCCAGAATGCAGTGTTGCAGCCTTCGCCCAGGGAGAGAGCTCGCGACGTGAGCAGTCGCTGCAAGAAAACCAGCACAGGCTTCAGCACATCATGCCTGGCACAAAAAAAAGAGCGACATCACAGGCTACCCAGATTCGGCTCGCGCAGCATGCATGCAGAAATACTTTGATCACACCGCGATGCATGAGGCAGCTGGCATCTTGGACACTCGCATCTGAGCAACTCTTCACGAGTTCGAGCCCAAAAGCAGCTCAAGCCACCACAGTACAGCCCCTACACCTTCAACAAACAGCCCCCAAACATCCCGAAACATCCAAGACATCGAAGCCACGACCAGGTTCGAACATGCTTCCAGAAATCTGTTCTACTCTGTTCTCAGTGTGCCTGAAGACTATGCCCATGCCACTCAAATGATCAGCCGGGTGCGCTCTGTAGAAGCCAATGCAGCCACCGCAAGTTGGGCCAGCGGCGGCACCTGTGAGACATGCGAGACATGACAGGGGCGTGCTTCAAACGGATGCTTCTCATACTCGGACTACTGCGTCGTGACGCAGGAGCTCCTAGTCGAATGGAAAACCAACACGAGAAGCAGGGCATGGAACAGCTTTGGCATCCAAAGACGTCAATGCGAAAGGTCCAAAGCCCGAGCCACCTGTGGAGAGGCAAACAGCGCATCACCTGTTGAATCGATGCCATGAGCTGCAAGCTTGCTTCCTTCTGCCAATGTATGCTTGGCAGACACATGTCAGGGCCTGCAGCAGCCGCCAGACAGGAGCAAAGATCAAGGAAAGGGATCAGGTCCTCCCAAGACTGGACTCAAGCTTCAAGCCCGGCGACTGCTGGGCACCCGCGCGAAGGCTCCTCTGCAGCGCGGCCGTGCTGTACATGTGTCCTCTGTTCCGGGGCGCATGCAGCATGTTCAGCGTGCGATCGCATGTGAGCTTCGGCAGACATGCAGCCAAAGCACAATGCCGCGCTGGAGATGACATCCTCAGACGACGGTACTAATTACTAGTTAATCTGAGGCTCCGCGGACCTGCAGTAGCAGCCATGCCAAAGCCATGGAGGTTGTGGTTGCAGATAAAATGACGAAGGCAAGACACCAAATGAGGCATCACGTGGCTGCGTGCCACGTCAGGATTGGCTGACAGCGCTGCCAGCGAAGACAGCGGAGCCAATTGCCCATCCTTCAGAGCAAGTGCTCCGAACTGGACACCTCCGGCTCCCTATGATTTCTGTACCCGGCCCGGGAGCCTTGCAACAGGCCACAGCCAATGACGCCAGTCCCTCTGCCAGGGCCGCCTCCCAGGGTGCGGCGACCAACACACATCCCTGCTTCACATAGACACATGTTAGGCCCTGTCCATGCGGATCTGCTTGCGTCCTTCCGGGCAAAGCACCTCCAACTCCCCGGACCCCTGCTCTCCATTTAGGCCCCTGTAGGCCTCGGGAACCTCTGCAGCTGCCATCGCAGCTCGACGGAGCAGTGCCAAGACGTTCACCTGCACGGCCACCTCGGGCAAAACGAGGCGGGAAACCGTGAGGTTTGCCGATACGGCTTCTGGCGGAGGAGACACGTAGTCGCACAGCCTAACAGTGCATCAAGCGTCAGGATACAACTGCACTGAGAGTCTAGGAGTAGCAGTGAGGAGCTGCTGCAAGAGCAGTTGTGGAAATGACTGCATCCCGCCAGCTACGGGGAAGCTTGCGCACGTAACGAACGAAGATGTGGGCAAGGCATACATACAGCCGAGCTGCATCGGAGTACTCAAAGATGGGCTTTCCTTTCGCTGCATCTTTCGTAGCGGGTGCTGCCATCAGCAGGGTCTGGCACAAAGGTGCTGTAGATGCCCTCAGCATCTGCGACAGCAGCCGGATTTGCAAGACCTTCTTCATCTCCGACCCACTGCCAAGGAAGAATCAGCTTTCAAGTCATGATCCTGTAGAGAAGCCAAGTTCAAGCTTCAGTGGATGCCAAGTGACCAGTGCAGAAGCAAGAATCCTGAGTCCAGCCCAAATCACATATCAGCCCCGCTCGCAAGAGAGGCCAAGAGGCCAAACAGTCCTGCCCATTGTGCACGCGTGTTACAGCTCGCATGTGAGCTGCCAGGTGGCTGGCCAAACACCGTGATGCAGTCCTGGAAGGGAGCTTACCGGATTCTTATTATCAGCTTTTCAGTGCAAGGAGACCTGGATCTCTGCATGACTACAGGCATGAAGCCAACATAACGCGACAGTCTGAGGCATGTGGCGATTCCGTGCTAGCACGAGCAATCTATGAAGTTCGTGGGCCTCGAGGCTTTCGGCGCACCAGCCGTGAGAGGTGCTGTGCCAGCCTCCTCCGCGACCTGGAAACGAGACCGGATGGGCACCATCACTGCGCATGCTCCGCCGGCAGAAGTTACGACAATCCAAGCTGTTGGTGGTCGAGGTTCGCTCACACATCGCAGCAGGCGGCTGAGCACGCGATGGAAGCTTGCTCGGCCTGACAGGGCACCCAGGGGTTGCAGTTTCAAGAAGCAAACGATGAACGACCCTAGCAGTAGTCTGAACCACTCCCAGGGTGCCACACCCAAAAATGCTTGCCCAATCCAGAACCTAAGAGCAAAACGCCTGCTTCACTGGAAATATCCAGCCCGCTTTTCAGCAGGGTCCCAGCACCTCGTCTGACCAACAGCTCGCACAATAAGTCTAGCTCTGGTTGCATCCCAGCTGCCATCACACACGTTTGCAAATGCATGGGCTGCTTGCTCATCTGGAAGGTCGCGCCTGGTGGAATAAAGGATTTGATTCTGCTGCTGCACTTGCTGTCGCAACACCAGGGGGCATGCGGACCGAGGCACGTAATGCCGACCAATGCACCATGAAGAGAAGCATCAACTTCGCTCGGGGCTGACTGTGCTACCTTGTGAACAGTCCAGGGCGGAACTGTGGAAGAAGCATTACGTCTCAGCGTAGAGGCCTGACAAACCACTTTCAGGAACTCCTCGAAGTGCGGCAGCAAAAGCTTGCCAGCATACCTGTTAGTGTGGAGAGCGAGCCGAATCATCACAGATGCACATCCCCGGTCAATTGAGTACTATATAGTTGCTTGTCTGCTGACGCTCGTGGGTGTCATCTTTCGTCTTCACTATTGGTCCAAAATTTTGGCTAAATAATGCTTGACGTGTTGCCCGCAAAGTTCCTGAATCACCTCGCTGGCTTGCAGGGGGATCTGCGCCACGACGGACATAAGCCATTGTACAGCTGGTGCAAGGTGGGCCTCCGGTGACTCTCGGCTCGGTCTTAAGCGGTGCACTGTAGACATTTGTGGACCAAGCCTTTCGCCTTTGCTGCCACATGCTTTCGAACTCGAAGTCCAACGGCGCGGGTAGGTCCGAATTTGCAGACTCGCGAAACAACTCAACATCGGCAATGTTGCCTGGAGTCGTTCCTCGAAGTGAGGGCCGCAGCCTCGAAGCTCTCAGGGGCTTACATCTAGACTGCGACTTGCACAGGCATTCATGCTTGTCACTGCTCCCTTGCAGGCCTCGAAGCAAGGCCGCCCCCGTGGAAAGAACTTCTGCAGGCGCAGAGGATACCTGGGTTTCATGAGCGGAGCCGATGCTGATTCGTTGTAACAAGGCATCTTGAACTGGCCTGAAAACTTCACTAGGCCACTAGGTACACGAATGCGTCTGCGGTGCCCTGAAAACGGTGGAGAGAACCTTGTTGTAGACATCCGGGATCGCTGGCTCGTCTGCCAACACTTCGGAGATCCCTTTCGGAAACACAAGGCAGCGTGAATGCTCCAAGGGTGTTTTGGTTGTTTGAGCCGCCCTTGAATGTTGCAAGATGGCCTTGGAACGCGTACCAAACCACCTCCATGCCGAGCAAGTCTGTCGCAGACTCAGACTTCTCGAGGCTGCTGAACCTGAGATTCAACAAATGCTTGACCCGATCCTGTAGGTCGTATTCATGACCCAGTGCAGCCTCGAAACAGGCCATTGAGAACCAGCTGGGCTTCGGCAGTCCCCGCCGCGATGCAGTACCTTGTTGTCAGGCTGCAGCAATGTCGGGGCTTTTGAGCTATCGAGCCTGTACAGGGAGCTTGCCGTTATGAGTGATGTACCCCGGCAAACAGTCTCCAAGTCACATGTCCACGAGGATGTCCTGCTGGGAGCTGCGAAGCTGCACAAGGTCGCTGCGGTCCTCCGCAGGGGCAGAGCGTGCGCAGCACTGCACAGCTGTGCCTTGACCTTCGACTGCAAATTATGGTCAAGTGCGCTAGGGAGAAGTCCTCTGTGTGAGGCGAGTCGAAGCGTCCAAAACGAACGAAGGATAGGATAGACCTCAAGTTGCTCAAGTTTGCTCCACTTGGTTTCGATCCCTCAACCTACGAGTAAGGTTCCACGTGACTTATCGTAACTACTGCAATGTTAATCTGCGTTTGCCCTGCGTCCATTGTAGTGTTGTGCTCGCCCGTTTCTCAACCCGAGCCACCTGCTGACCTGTCGGGTTTCATTCCAATCCTTCGCCGTCCCAACCTTTGTAGCTCTGCGCACCATCTGCTTGTCTGCTCCCAGGATACCATAATATACCATACCAACTCGTGTGTGTACTCGTTGGTGTACGTGCACATGTGTACAGATACTCAGATACACAATAACCCCATTCAGAACAGAGAAGAAGATGCCGGTATGGTACTAAATGGTTACTAAACCTCCGTCGAACTCAAACGTAAGGCCACCCGAAAGCCCAAACCTCTTTGGGCCCGGTTGCGGCTCCACCAGGCGATGCAGGATCTTTGGCATCACCTGAATGCCAGCGCATGCGGACGAGAGAGTCGAACCGCAAGGTTCCTTGAAACTGCGGCTTGAAACAGAAGCCACAGCCGAAGCATGCTGAAACCTTGTATCAACTCCACACCCTGTCTAAGGCCATGCTCTGAGCCTCGGAGCACTTTCTTATCTACTTGTGTGTATACAGCATGCATACAGACTTGTACACATATTCATGCATAATCCACGTCGTAGTATGTACATTTCTTAATACATGCACACATGATCGCATGATATACGCGCGCACACACACACACACACTCGCACCACGGCACACAAAGACGTCAACGTGCACACACGTCCGCAAACCTACATGAACTTTCAGCATCGCAGTACATCACATAATATCACATAGACACCTCGTGCTGATGCCTCTGTCCCCTCAGCAAACATTTTTCTGACTTGCCCAAACTCCTCCAACATCAAGCCGTAAACCTAGCAATAATCGCTGGGCAGTCAAGTCGCACCCTCTGGGAGCTTGCTGTCGCGCTGTGCATCCTCTGCAGGCTTCGGGCCGGCCGAGTTGCTTGGGTGCCAGCAGTTCTTATCTCACAAAACCACAAAAAAGGTCGTGCCCGGAATGTACCAAGAAAGAAGGCACATCTAGTTCGTGTCAGGTGCTAGGAATATGTCAAGAAGCAAGTAATGGCCTCTGCTGCTACCAACGGCATGCTTAAGAGTTTGATGCCTGGTGATGTACCTGCATCAGAAATGGCAACCAGTTCAAGCCATAAACCTGGCAAGGGAGCGAATGTTGTATCAAATGATCGAGCCGTGAGACCAGAATATGGAGCGTGACTCTATCCAGAAGTCCAGACTGACAAGGTTCTTTTCCCACCCACTACCGACAAGGTTGGAGACTGAGGATGAATACACAAGTGTGTGTGCGTGTGTATTGATGCTATTACGCAGCGGGGTGGCGGAGTGGGGTTGAAAGCTCCAGTGTCCTTCAGAATTGCCCAAAGCTCTGCCACGGCTTGTGCCACTTGTGGGTGCACGACGAAGCAGGCCCCGATGAAGGCAAGCCTCAGTGCATCTTGCCCAGAAGCCATAGGTCCAGCACGTCTGTTGCTTGAAGAACTTCATACTGTGGCGAGAACTGGTGATGCTATTGGCTAACTATGCCATGATCTGCTGAGGCCATTGCCTTTCGGCTTGCAATATCTAGTTTTGAGTGAAAATGCTAGACGGGGCTTTTCAGTCTTAGGGTCTTAGGGCCTCAGAGAGCTATTAGCTTGGCATGTCTGATCATGCCTTCAATAAACTTCAACAAGGTACACATCCAGCACGACCACAACTGCAGCTGACTGCAACACAGCCACAGCACCTCCGAAGATTCGGCATCAAGCCAAAGAAGCTGAGTGTATGCCTCCACCAGGGTTCCAGCCTGGTCTGTTGCTTCACAGCATCGGCACGGTCACAAGCGGGGGTGTAAAGCACTCTGTGGATCGCCCGTGCATCCTAATTGAACCGAAAGAAGTTTAGGGTTTCTGTGCGGGCAGATGTCTACGTGAATGCGTCGCAGATGCTAGCTCGGCCCAGCGTTGAAGCAGCCGCCCTTCAGCCATGTCGAGCGAGACCTCTGTCAGCCGGTCAGTACGGCCAAGACCACTTACGTCCAGCCTTGCTGCTCGAGCTCAGGGCAGACATGAAAACTAAGCTTTGCACCTGTTGCTGCGCAGCGCTCTGCAGTGTAGGCAGGAGAGCCTTCATCCTGATGCGGAGGCCCTTTGGCCCATGCCATGTCTGTTACTGTACCACCACTCAGTGCCCCCCATATGCTGCGCAGGCTCGCTCGAGTGACTGCACCGAGGAGGCCTGACAGCGAAGTTCAAACTTGTGCATCCTGACAGAGAGAGACACAGAGAGAGAGCTAGGGCGAACTAGTAGGGAGGGGAGGTGAGTGTTCGACCACAGCTCATCTCAGTTATGCTCAGCTACCTGATTCGGGCAGTCGACTAGACTAGAAGGGGCAAGGCTGTTTTAGCCATATGCCTTCCAGTGCTGGCACGGGCGTCTGCACCTCGTATTGGCGGTGCAGAACCAACGGGACACATGCTGCCTTCCAACATGGGACGCTTCAAGCTTGCTGCCGAGTTTCTGGTTCGTATATGATGAAAGCACCTGGTGTCCTGCGAAGGACTTCCACTACCTGGGTGTCCATGCTGCTCGCGTGAGATGCATCTCTCGTTTTGCCCTCGAGTGGTTCGGTCACCATCAGCCGCTGGCACGAAAAAATTGTCAAAGCAAGCCACGGCATCCATCACGACTTCAAAGTTGCCCGCAGGACCACCTGTGTCGGCAAGAGGACACAAGACATCGGAGAGCTAACATGACTGGGTATGTTGCAGCAGGCAGGACCAGCAGTCGCAATTGCCAACATGGCTAAATTTGCCCAACGCCAATCTCACTTCACCAGCCAAAAGCCCCGGCTGCTTGCAATATTCATCGCAAAATGCTCAAGCTGTTGCCACGCTGGGCGTAGCAGTGGAACAGTACAGGACCGTGGCTTGCTAGCCACTGTGAAGAAGCTCCAGGGTAGCCCCAGGATGGAGTGCTCGGTGCGTGAAGCCAGCATGCAAGGCATGCTTACATTGAATGACCATCTTTCAAGTGCCAGTACACCCTTGATCTGCCGTTTTTGCACAGTGAAGCAGCAGTTGTGATTCTAATCTTCTCAACCGAGGCTCTCAAAAGCCCGGTGAGGTACTGGGCGAAGCCACCGTGCTCCAGCAGCTGCAGCCCCATCACCTCCGAATCACAAGGAACTCAAGGGTTGCCCAGCAAAGCTCCGCTTTCCTGCCTTGGACCACTGTGTCAAAGTCTGCAGCGCCAACCTTACACACCCCGGGTCCGACCCTAGACTAGGAAACAGCTGTCCGGAGATGTATCCAAATCCAGGCGAATTGCGAAAAGTCTGGATCTCCAAGCGTCCCTGTCGGAGCCTCGCCAAGGCTGCACAAGGATTCTACTCCCAAGCGGGCCACCGCTGCCTCGTCCGACGTTGGCTGATATCTCACTGCCATGTCGAGCATCCCCTGGGCGTGGTGTAGCAGGGCAAGTGTCCGAGCCTCGGAGGCGCGATCTCAAAACGCGTTGTCTCACCCACTTCTCAGATAACGCCGGCCGAGGTGCATCAGCCTTCAAATACTTGTGCACAACCTCGCATGGCGGAATTCACTTACGGCGCTCTCAAGCCGAGCCGCCGAGGCCTCTGAGAGCTGCTCAGGAATGATGACCTCAGGGGTCCCAAGGGGTGCTGGCTGCGTGCTGCAAAGAGCCATGCTTCGGTGGGCCAGGCACTCCCGTGCCCAAGCCGCGACAAGCCGCGATGCAAGTAGGGCCCGAGCCAGGGTGCCCCAAGCGATCTTCGGCTGCCGCTCGGCCAGAGCGAGAAGATCTGCTACCCCAGTCTTCCTTCGAGCTCAGCGAGCTCTTAGTACTTCGGGATGGATGCTTTATCTTTTCGGCTGACTTAGGCTTCACATGGGTAGTTCTCTAAATCAGGGTCCCATTGCGGGTCCTCTTTATAAGGGTGCCGTACTATATTGGGGACCTGAAAAGGAACCCTAATTTCGAGAACTACCCACATACAGGCCATGATGCCTGGCTTTCAGGTTTCACGCTGCACTGCATCGCGATATCTCAAAGGGACTAAAGGTTGAGTCAAGGATCCAAGTTGTGCTGCAAAGAGCGACAACGACTGCGGCCAGTGCCACCACCTTCCAAATCCGAACTGCAGAGTGTGCAGGAGCGCACCGATGATGCTCACACATATCGGGCAAAGAGTGGCTGTAGATGGGGGTTGTTCCTTATTATGGTTGCAGCCTGTAGCTCGAAAATCGCCTTGTGCTTCGCCCTTGTGCGCACACGGTTTTAAACACATACCCACCTTGAAGCCTTGACAAACCTTCTTACGCTACTTTGTCGCCCTTGCGTCGTGCTGGTTTTGCGGTGCGAAGTGGCAACAAACAGCATCAAAGCATGTCGTGTCTTCTGATTGGGTTGCAAGCCGCGAGTTGCTGCTTCGAGGGCTTCGTCGCATCCGTCTCCAGGTGCTTCAGCAGCACAGGCACCCAGTCCTGCTCAAGTTGAGAGGAGGGATTTCAGGGTGTTTTCCAATGCACATGAACCTCCTCATCTCCGTCATCTCCAAAGCTCAGTCGGAGTTTGCCAACTTTCCCACGGTCCTTGAGATCGCCTGCTGCAGGCTCCGGATAGCCCTGCGCAGCCCGCTGCACGCGTCCTCTTCGGAAGCATTTATGAACCCCAGAAATAGACATCGGACCAGCAACGGCATGAGATGAGCATAAAAGGAGCCCGCACCCCAACTTGGACGGCAACAATAATCAAACCATTCAAAATTGGCTGCAAGGACCTGCAAGGACTAAATAAAGCGGAGGCTCGGCACAGAGTTTGAGCGCCAAAGAACTGCCTAGAATGCAGCAGCAACAGATAGGCTTCCAACCGTACAGGTGTTTTGATGACTCTCGGCTGACATGCCTTCAACGAAATTCCAAAGTGCAGGCCAAAGCGCACATTTGGGTCAGCGTCGCTCAGCAGCCTACAGTGAGGAATCATGCATCTGGGAAAAACTTGCGAGTGCTCCCCAGTTCGTACCGACTGACAGAGTTCCTTGTTGTCGTCCAGGCATCCAATCCACTTCCGGCCACTTGAAAGCCAAAAAAAATCGTCGTCGGGCAGCTCGCGGCTCACGGCCCAAGCTGCATCCTGCTCTGCAAAGCCGCGCAGTGCCGCGTCGGCGCTCTGCCGCGCAGCCTGAAATGCGCTCCCGGGCTTGTGAACCCACAATCCGAACTGAAAGCAGGGAGCGGAACACAAAGGCAAGAATCAGCAACTCGTAGACCTACTCCCAGATGGATGTTGTCCTCCCAGCCCTTCATCGGAAGCACCATGCCATGACTTTTACCGCCATTCTTTTACAATATTTAAGTAACGTCGCTGCGAAGTGCCGGTGGTACTCCCAACATCCGGGAATCCACAAGTGCTCACGTAGCATCTCTTGCGAATCAAGAGGCTGCATCATGGGAATGATGGAGCTCAAGGATCTTTGCACGGACCGCCGCAGACATGACATCTGGCCGATTCGCTGTCTGCACATTGACTACGTGAGCTGCTGGCTTACGGGTTGTCTTGTTTTCGTAGCGGATTTGGGATGATTTGGCGTCTGTTAGCTGATCCAACACGCGGCGAGACGCCACTGATGGAGCCAACTGTAACCGCGGTGGGCCCAGCTTTACTGGACATATCAAGACTATTGACTATTGGCTAGGCAGCTGCTTGGCAGTTTGCGGTGTTTGCGGTATCGACATGCCAAGGAGATTCTGTCTGTGTCGTGAAGCTAGCTGGCAAATCCACTACCAACGTGCAGCTTGAACCGCTGCCTTGCCATCACAGTGGTCAGTGCCCACAGCTGGATGCTCTACCCGAGGTGTTATGCACGCAGCAGGCACGCAAACCCTGCGGATGGGGGCCCGGGCACGCAGCCTTCACCATTTGGACTCTCGTTTTCGGGGCCAGCTAGACTCAAACAGAGTCTGAGATGCCGCAACAGTTCAGGTCCTCGCAAGGCTCCTTTTCAAAGTAGGTGACCCATGCGATGGAATCAGGGTTGCCAGAGATCTGGTTGCCTTGGATGTTGAGCCAGGCACGCTCGATCGGCTGACCTGCCGAAGCCATGATCCGCTAAGGTCGCTGAGGTCGGCACCCTTCCCTTTTCCTGATGTGGAAGAGCACAGAACGAACGCTCAAGAATCACATCCACTTGCTCCGGTAAAACCTCGTTACCAGCTGTCTGACACAAATCGGAGGGCAATGTTGCTTCTAAACATGCCGGGAGCCACGATCTTCTGCTCTCAAGATTCGAATGTCTCGGCAGGAACAGGAATGCGCCCGATTTACTATTGACACAAGCTTCCTCGTAGGTCTTGGAATGACATCTGCTGCCACATGAGCTGCATCTTAACAAAGTTGCAAAGCAGATTCTCAAACTGTGCCTATGGTCTGTGGTGGTGGTTGCTTGTAGGACATGCACTTTAAGATTTGGCTGCCCCTGCATCGCCTGGACGGGTCTCCGTCTGATTCCCTTTCCCGAGAGCCGAACTCTTCACATCGCCGTAGCTCTGAAAGACATACTTCAGCTCCTTGTGCTACTGTAAGACAATGTGACTGCAACGGGAAGGGTTTCCGTGCGTTGTCCCCGGAAAGCACATCAGAACCAAGGACCATAAGGCTCACTGGCCCTCTGGGGATTGCACATCGCCTCAAAACCGGAGTACTGACAAATCCCACCGAGTAATAAGGTGAACGCTGCTGTTTCCAGATGGCTCCCCTTGCAGATCTTCGGGCTAAGTAATGAAAGGGAGTGGTGCCGCAACCAGTCCTCCTCGGAGATGTCAGCAGGGAGGCCTCTGAGTGTGCTGTAGGACCATTAAACTCATCTCTCTCTCTCTCTCTCTCTCTCTCTCTTGCTTGCTTGCTTGCTGGGGGTTTGGGGTCAAAGACCCCCGGCCCGAGGGCCAACCCCTCAACGGCGCACGACTGTTCTGTCTTGACTACCCCGTATTGGGGTTTTGCAGCTGTGTTCCCGCNNAAAACACCCCTCCTAAGACCGTGACCAAGTAGTAGAACCCACGATGTGTGCTCCCCTGGGTCATCCACAGTGCATTCTACGTTGGTCCCTCAACCGAGCTCCACTCTGTGAGGGATGTGGGGTGTGCCAGTCAGAAAAAGCAACAATGTGAAGCACTAAATGAAGGTCATAACCCTGCATTCAATCACCCCTCTGGCTCCCCCTGGCACATGGACTCTACCGGATTAAACCAACCTACCTGCCTCCCGACCTCATCCCGAACGGAACCTCGCAGCACGGCAGCACTACCTGTCACCTCCCCACCCCCGAAGCCTCTACTCTCTTTGGGAGATTTGTCTGTATTCCGTGTTGTTGACTCAGTCGACAGGGGCTACATGACCGCGGCAAACAGCAACAGGATTCAAAAGCAACCCTACCTAGTTGGTTGGCCCCCTGCCTTTGTTCACGGGGCACGGTCCCCTTGCGGTTGTGCGAACTTCTACTCCCAGCTATGGCTTCTCGTTCCCCCCTTACGGGGGTTGCTGCACATCCAAGTAAAACACCACCTTAGGCGCCATCTCTCCCTGAGAACGTGACCACTTCTGGAGCAAGATGCCATAAGCTGCGTTCCTTCACCCTCACTCGCTGACATGTGAGCAAGAGGCCCCCAATAGAAGGACATGCTAGACATGCTGACAATCACTTAAGAACCCCCATCGACGTAACATCAATCGTCGTTGTCGAGCGAGCTTGGGCTGGTGAAGCCTCTTCTTCTGTTGCTCCTAGGCTCACTGGGGGCTTCATGTTGTTCTCCCTCAGGTCTTGGTGCGGCTGATCGTGTAAAGGGAGTCGTTGAACTGGCCGCCCCACTCGTCAGGTCCATGAGCGTCTCAGCTGCCCCCTCATTTGCGTA